AATCTCTAACGATTTGTCGAAATCTTTTAATGCATCCTCATATTGTTCAAGATAATAATACACAGTTCCCCTTCCACTCAATGCCCGTGCGCCATCCGGCTTAGTGCTCAACGAATCGTTGAAATCATTCAACGCATTGTCATACTGTTTAAGATTAAGATAGACACCTCCACGTCTACTCAATGTCCATGCGTCATTTGGTTTAATATTCAATGATGTATTGAAATCATTCAACGCATTATTATATTGTTCAAGATTAAGATAAACAGTTCCCCTTCTGCTCAATGTCCATGCATTATTTGGTTCAATTTCTAATGATTTGTTGAAGTCATTTAATGCTTCGTCATATCGCTTAAGATCAAGATAGACGGCTCCCCTCCCATTCCATGCATATGCATCATTTGATTCAATAGCCAAAGATTTATCGAAGTCATATAATGCGTTAGCATATTCTTTACGAATAGTATAGGCAGTTCCCCTTCTGCTCAATGTCCATGCATTATCCGGTTCGAGCGCTAATGATTCACTGAAATCCTTTAACGCATTATCATGCCGTCCAAGATTAAGAGAGACAACTCCCCTCGTACTTAATATCCAAGCATCAATTATCTCCAACGATTTGTCGAGGTCATCTAATGCGTTCTCATGCTGCCTTCTGCTCAACGTCCATGCACTATTTGATTCAATCTCCAACGATTTGTTGAAGCCATTTAATGCTTCGGCATGCTGTCCAAGATGAAGATAGACAGCCCCCTTATTTCTCAACACACACGCATTATTGTCTGATTCCGTTGCTAATGATTTACTGAAATCCTTCAACGCGTCATCATGCCGTCCAAGATTAAGATAGACGGCTCCCCTATTTCTCAATGCATACGTATTATTTGGTTCAATCTCCAACGATTTGTTGAAGTCATGTAATGCATTGTCATACTGCTTGAAATGACGATAGACAGCTCCCCTTCTACTCAACGTCCATGCATTATTTGGTGCAATGACTAACGATTTGTTAAAGTCATTTAATGCCTGGCAATACTTCAATCTCTTTAATCGCTCATAGACGTTTTCACATAAAGGCCGCTTATTGGGGGTTTCATCCCAACATTCTGAATATAAATTAATATATTCTACGGGTGTTCCAGGAAATGGGGCATCACGAGAGCCGTCAAGTCTATATACAATGATTGCAGCACTGTCGGTACGTCCTTCACACGGAATTTTTCCACTCGAAATCTCCCAAAGTATTACCCCAAGTCCAAAAATATCGGATTCCTTTCCACGTTTCTTATTATTAACAAAAGATGCTGGATCCTTGTATGCTGAGGTACCAAGATGATGCGATGGGGACATCTGTTTCAAATTACTAGATAAACCAAAATCTGCAATCTTTGCAGTGTCCGCTTGAATAAGAATATTGTTGGAAGACTGAATGAATTAGCGTAATTAGTATTTCATGAAATTAAATACGTATGTATTACCGGTGAATAAAGAGAAACGGTCAAATCCATACCAAATCTTTGTGAATTATACCAAGCAAATGCAAGTATCTTAACCCGTTGACAATCTCTAAACCCAATCTGTATTTGTCTTTCCACGTCAAATCCGTAAAGTGTTTCTCTAGGTGCTTACGCAAAGTTCCACCGTCAGCTAGTTCAAAAATCATACTATAATTATCGTCTGTGACTGTTTGTTACATAGAAACTGGATTAATCGTTACTCTTTCTCTCAATAAGTTCGAGTTGCCAATTATCAAACCTTTGAGACCTAGAAAACGGATAATGTTGGGGTGGCCGTTTGCCTGCCTGTGGTTATTCAACTAATGTATGATGATAATGCCAAAAATTAGCTTATAAAATAGGTAACATTAATATGCAATAAATAACGATAGCAGAATGGCTAACCTCTCGGACAAGCAGTTTATAAAAACCATTTAAATCTCCATATAAGGAAGTAATAAAGGTCTTCACTACAACAGTCATGCCAGAGGTAATATCTCGCTTCTTGCCAAAAGTTGAATTGGACTTAACAGTCGCTTTGTACACTACGGCAAACGCACCACAGGCCATTGGCGTAGATTCTATTGAGAGATCGCTTTCCGAACAGCAGTAGATTGACCCTTCTTGAATGCTTGTCTCTAACCATCTTTTATCGTAAGATATTTTGTTCTGGAACATATAGGTGTAGTGATAGCAGTATAAGAGACGATACACACCTTAGTTTTTGATCATCAGAATGTGTGATCTAACACATATACCGTATTTCTCCGACACGACCCCCATGAGCTATACCCTGCGGCAATTTTGAAGGCCAAATTTTGATTTATACCCGGGTATTAGTTATGGTATCCCTCCGGCATATATACCCCCCTGTGATTTGGCCGTCAATACTATTGACAATTTATAATCAAACACCACATCATCCTCTGTCCCGTCCATTTTGACTGAAACACCACAACACTTAAACGCTTTTCTTCCCATGAATCTCTTATCGCAATTGAATTTTAATTTCGAAGTTCTTTATATACTATACAGTATTAGTAGTATCTAATAATGCGCGTTAATTATAATATACAATTTCGAGAACATGATTCCGCAACCAATAGAAGTTTAAAGAAACAAATCGAGATATGTACCCCCCATCAGTACGATGTACCCCCCCACACACGAGTACCCCGGGTACTAAAACGAACAAGGGGAATACCCGGGGTACTCGTGTCGGAGAAATACGGTAATTTATGTTAATTTTTCTGACTTTGACCAGTGTATAGACAGTTGTTCACTGTACTACTATTAATTCGTCGCGTTATGCCGATGATGTGGCACAACTATCAATTGATCTGACTGACTCTGCTTCATCAACAACCAATGACAGTTCGTGTTTGCTTAAATAAGCATAATACTAATATTTCCTTTGTCAAATATTTTTCTCTCAATCAAAACTTCTCAACCATACGAAAACTCTTTTAACGTTTATATAATAATAAGTACCTTTAAAATTAAAGTTTATAAAAGTTACACAGCTTGTGATGTATGAAAGTCGATAATACGGAAAATACTCGACAGGTTTGTCGATTATTATTATGCACCTGTTCGGGTGAACTTTATTTTGAGAAAATTTAAGTTTTATTGTTAACGTTTATCAATAATATTTACCGCTATTCATTGATTATTGCTATTCAGTTTATGACAATTTTTACATAATATAAATTATCTGCTATTAAAAGTTAATGCAAAATTTTTTAATGTTTCATTATACGTGTTATTTGTTCATTGATAGTATTTACTTATTTAACTATTTTATAGATTTTTTTCCTCGAATCTTTTACCAGATGTTTTAAAACCGGTTTTTCCTCGTGATTATACTTATTTAATCCAAAGATTCGATATTCTATCACCATATCGAACACAAGAGATTGTAAATGTGTGTAGCAAAGAAGAAGGGTTGACAGCATTTGAATCTTATTCAAAAACTACAATGCCGCAAACAAGGGGTTTTAAAATAACAGGAAACAGGCTACTTTTTGGGGGTTACGCCATTGTATCCATAGCCATCGAGTCAAGAAAAAACAAGGAAATCGTATAAAAAGACGTCAGAATTCACCTCGGAAACGTGATATCAATTGTACTGCAAGCATTCATATTCGATTGGAACGTCGGAAACTTACACATAGGCATCCGTTAGAAATTAATATTAAATTTACACACAACCATGTAATTAATTCAGCGGAATTACACAGTTTTCGCCGTGCCAAAAGTGAAGTCCGCGAAAAACTTGTCGAATTATTCAAAGACGGACATTCGCCTGCCTCCGCATTGTTCGCTTATAAAGATAAACAGTACCTTAATACTACGAACAATCAAGAATTGAATACTTTCTGATCGAGCATTCAATCAGGACTATGATACTGTTCTCCATCTTTTTCGAAAATATCGCGAGACTGCACTTGGCAGTCGTAATGGAAAATCGATGTTGAGCGCTTAAGGTGTATAGTCGAAGAATACAACAATTCAGGTCGGGGTAAGCGGCGTTGCAAGAATTTTACGCCGATACTGGAAAGGCATTTATACTTGTATTGTAACGGGTCTTATGTATTGAGTGCATGAGAAAAATTCACAAGCGCGTGGGTTGTGTTATATGGACGCCTCGGCTTCATTTGAACTCCTTAACACATTGATTACTCTCGCTGTGCAGTCGGTGCTCTTTCGCTCGGTCTATTTATAACTTCAGATAAACTCGAAATCACATTAGAAAAGGCAATAAATTTATTGAAAACGATTCTGCCTTTTTCGGACGCGGTCCACAAGTAGGTCCGATCGTTATTTTTTTGTTCTTTAACTAATCACTTATCCTTTCCAATTAAATTTTATCACAGGAATCCGCCTTCTATGCACTTTTCACATTCTTCAATCGTTTTAGAGATGGCTTCATGATTCGAAACACCATATTAAGAAGGAGGATCGAGCACTTATAATGGAGAAGATGAAGAAAATCCTTTATGCATCATCAGGTCCGGAGATGGATGCGCATTTAAGAATTCATATTACAATTATCCACTTTTACGAAAACATTTTGAGCTCTTGTGGGAGCGTTGTCAATTTTGGGCACTGCCTTTCGAGTTGGATTACCTACGCGCGGAAATAACACAAACAACCATGTTGAACGAAGTTTCGGCATCTTAAAAGATATAAATTTTGCGAGGACCCAAGCGTATAATCTAGTACAAGTATTTCAGTTGTAGTAACAAATATGGAGAGATTTTACGCGCGGAGGCTGCTTGTAATTGCGCATAAACATCCTGGACACTTACGTGTTGCAAACCGTTTTTTGTGCCCTGGTTGGGAAGGAGTGAATGTGAATTCTATTATTAAAGAAACAGGCATAAGAAACGAATTTTCAGTTCTTAGTGCAAGCCAAGATGATCTTTTCTATATTGTGAACAGTGAATTTAGAACTTGTACTTGTCCTCCGGAGCGCCCTGCAAACATCAGTGAGCAGTTGCAATGAAATATCACGTTGCAATACTTAATTTTATACCTTCATTAACAATTAAAGATCGTATGGTATATGCCTATGTTGCGCTTGGTAAGTGAGATTATAGTTTAAAAATGGTTGTAAATTTAGACTCACAATTATCTTCTTTAGGTTATACCTCAGAAAATACTTTATGCGTCATTATGAGCAAAATCCACTCTGCAGGATCAAGGATTTACATTGCAAAGTAGTTTCCCTAATAATTTGTAAATTCTGCTTGAAAGACAATTCTAAAATATTTGTTATAATTATTGATCCTTATAGGGCATCTAATAAGGAAATTACTGAAGCCGATTGTACTGCGTTTGCTATGTTTTTAGAGGAACTGAAAGAAGACTATCAAAATGCTAGTCCTCAATTATGCACTGCGCTAGACAAGTTTGCAGAGATATCGTTCAGCGAAATCAAAATCTATTCCTCGGCTTACTTCCTATCTCTATGACCTTAATCATGATTTAGACCCAACAGCCCGTGTTAAAAGTGGTTCGAATAATACGTGTTCAATTTGAATCTGTTAAAAGACGAAAGACCGAAGGTTCTGATGGTAGAAAGCGAAAGCTACCTAATACTATCTGTGAAGAAAAGGAGAATTTGAATCCTCACGTTATTCCTGCACGAAAGAAGAAGGCAACAGCTAAAAAAAGTCATAATTTAAGCATGAATATAGCGAAGAATCAGTCAAATTAAAGGTAATTTAATTTAATTTAATTTATTTTATTTTATTAGCTTAGCATTATTATTATGTAACATAACATTTATTAACGTGGCATTTATTTATCATAGCATTCGCCTAGCTTTTTTGTTACTTTTTTCAATGCAAATGGTAAAGTGTATGTATGAAGGAGGTAGAGAATAAATCATATAATAAAATGATGATCCCAAAGTCCTTTATTTCACATATGCATTTTCAGCGTTTCAAATAATGTAAATCGGGAATATAATACAGTCAAGACTGGATATAACGATACCCATATACGTGTATAACGATAACTGGATCTAACGATGAATTTTGTCATTACCAAAACATCCTTATTTAATTTCACCTGGTTATACCGATGATTATTATTAAACCTCGTTATTACGTATAACGATACGTATGCTATTGTAGCAATATATCTTTATACCGATATTGTTGTGTGACATCCAATCAAAAACTGTACGAATTTCGAGTATTAGCATACTGTATACATATGTAATAATATTCATTTCCCGAATTTCAGATTTTCAATGTCTAATACTAAACAAATGTTCGAAAACACCCAATATACCCTCTCAGGGAGAGCTTGAGGAACAGACTGTTTCCATAAAGAACGTGTTAGAAAGCTTGGATAATGTGTTCAGTTTTCTCGTTCATCCACCTGCAAGACAGTTATAGAAAGAGCTTCCACGTTCTCCCAAACGAGAATTTATACATGTCCAGTGTGCTGAAAATTTTGAATCTGTTATTTGAGGTTTGCAGATGGGTCAAACAAAAAAGTAGCATTATTAGGATCGGGAATTACAGAGGTGTTTGTTGGATGCGGAAATATATTAAAGTTAATATTAAATAGTAACAGTGAGATTTAGCTTCAACATAGGATATTAATGCTAACACTAATTAATACTGACATTTATCCGATAAAAAAAAAGGCAAGTAACCAATCATTAAAAAATGCGAGCTTAAGGAAACGAAAGTATTTTGATAGTCACCAATGCGCGGATGGCTTAGAGTAATAAAATTATATATAGGATTATCCGTATATGAAAAATAGGGAATACAATGGTTCTACCGAATTTGAATACGTGTTTCTTGGAGATAGGTTGCAAATGTGGTTGCTGAAAAATGATTCCGAGAGAAAAGTTTGCGAAGCGTTTCAAGCTCTCTCTAGATCCGAACAAGATATATTTTTGATGGCTCAGTTGAAAGCGATAAATGGTGGAGAAATAACTGTCAGCCGACGTCTTAAAAAGAAAACAAGCGAACATTTTACTGTTGAGATCGCAATACACCCGCTTGTCAGAAAACGTATCTCAACATGTTAGGAATTGGTCGCACTCACTTCGAAAACACTTGGCGACAAATGGTGTAATACCACGCGTTTATGGTAACATAAAACGAATGCCACGATGAAAGATCAAAATAACCATTGGTAAAGACGTTGCTACAGTCGTGAAAAATATTATGTTGACTAATGGATATGTACACGCCAGACATACAGTGGTCGTCATAAATATCCGGAATTTTGATCCGGTGCAGAAAAAGTCACGTAGCATAACCAATTTTGAACCAATACAAAATTGGTACTAAAGTATTATGCATCATAACCAAACGCGTTACCGCTAACTTGTTTGCAGTCTATTTTCGCTTTGGGCAAATAACCTGCTGAAATCATACGCTTAACAGGTTTTCCGAAATCCACAGTGTATGATTTAGTCAATCGACTTAAAGAAAGGTCTATTGTTACGCCACTTCCCATCCTGGAAGACCTCCAATTCACAACGCCGTCAACTTGGTCTAATAGTGCCGAACAACAATACTTGTTTTGTTCACTGAAAACTCAATGCTAAAAGATATCAACAAATTCTTGAAACTCACCTTTTTTCTTACATTTCCAGAGCAAATCGTCAGTTTCGTTTTCAACAGGATGACCCCCCTATCCACGAGGCAAGGGCAATAACTGACCTGTTTGAGCGCCATAGCATTCACATTCTTGATTGGCTCGCTACAAACCCAATTGAGAATTTGTGGGCAATACTTAAGGGAAAAGTGGAGAAAGAAGTAAATTTGCGGTTAATAAAAAAAAAAAGCTTTCAGCAATTGACTTTCAAACAATAATTCGTCAGGAATGGGAGAGTCTGGATGATAATCTCTTCCTTAGGTTAGCGAATAGTATGAAAAATTGTGTTTCAGAGGTAATTGAGCGGGAGGGAAAAAAAGATATATTATTGAAATTTTGTACATAGTTAGTAACTGTATTGGCAACATATGTACGAAATTTAAGCATACAAAAATAATGAAAATAAAAATTTTTGTCTGTGAGATTAAATTCCGGATATTTATGACGACCACTATAATTCCTCCTTATACTTTCTCTTTACTAGACAATACTTTTGTTTACTTGTATCATATGTAAATCCAATGGCAACCCAAACATTTGTGGAAGAATATCTGAATGCTCATCACATAACTAGTGGACATTATACAAATTCAATATTTATCTAAACAATGGACAAACTATTATATTCGTGCTTGTCATAATATGAATTATCTATCTCATTTATAATTGAGATTTCTTAATAAAGTCATCGAGTTGCTTATTGTTGCTACTCCATCCATTGGATAATTGTTTATGTCCACAAATACACCACACAGGACTACATCGGAGTATTCCGCATGCGGAGCAGAATCCATATCGAGAATAACAAAGGTAAAAGCGTCGTATAGCAACCATGTAATAGTTATCTTTATACTTGGTAAATCCATATGCAATACTTAAGCTAATTTGAATATCTTCTGAACTGATTAACGTCATTGCTGTACTTGTGTATTGGAAATGGCAAACTCACTTCACAAGTGTGTTTCATTACTTCCAAGTGATAGCAACATTATCTCTTTCTCGACAAAAGTCATTGTGATTATATGTTAATTTTATCACATATTGTGGCTATAAAAAGTCTGCAAATTATGCCTAACAGAAATTACTGAATGCTAATTTTTCTTAATATTAACTAAACGGATTCCTAAATCTTGTAGTTGTAACGTGTTTCGAAACTTTAATACCTATATTAATAATTATTTACGAGTTTATTATTTTCTGGTTCTGCTTTTAAACTTTGCAAAAACGTGGCCCGCACAAGACTTGAAGCTCAGTATTGTTTTACCAAATAAAAATACACTAAAAGAAAAAACGGGTATTCTTCTTTGTCTTAAAAAACAGGTCACGTTAAGCATTAGCATGTGCTAATGGTAGTCATAGAGTTGTTCGCTCATTGGATTTGGCTCTTACGCACGACATCTGGTTTATTACCCAAAAGAAACATATTTGGTGATATACGAAAAAAAGATATACCATAGTTTCGTGCCCAAGCACTAGCCAAATAATGGGAGTCGATTTCATATTAAAATTTTATTGGTTAGTAAGACATGGAAAGAAGTTTAAGTAGACAAACTTTTGTGCTCATTATTTTCGCTACTGTAGCTCATAATTTTTATTACGTTAGCGTCTGAAGTTCATTCATGACTGATAACTTAAATAACCGGGGTAATATAATAATAAAGGGATTCGGGAAAATAAACAAAGCGTTTTTATATAAAGTTTTGTGACCAACCATTTTGCATTTTACTAGTATGATAATTCAGCATGTATGTCATAGTCAGCCCTGGCGGAATTGCCTTTTGGGATCATTTCTATATCCAATTACTTCACCAAGCTCAAATTCAGTAAGTTTACGTTTGTCAGTCACTCTCAAAAGATTTAAAAACGTATGATAGAAGTTTTTGAAATTTAAAATTAATGATCATGGTCAATCGACAAGATTTCCGGTAATGATTTTACCTAGATCGTTTTCTTCAGCCGTAGCAAATTTAAATTTTTTTTATAAAATGATGTAAAGTTTATTAACATTTGCATAATAAAATGGTATCGATAAAACGATCTGAGGTAGATTAATTTTCATATATTTATATCTATTATGAGCAACCGAGAGACATTAGAATAAGTACAAAATGCCTCATTCATTATTATTACATATTTGCTATTGCTACTACCCACATTTCTGACAATTATAAAAACGGTCTGCTCTTTGTCAGCACTTTGAAACTGCATTGTATGGAATGTCATCTCATCATGCCCACATTTAGGACATTTTTCTTTAATCTAGACAGTCACCCAAACCACGTCAATCATATCTCATCTTACAAATGGCATCATCATACACGCTTACTTACAGTTGCACCCTTCTCCGTCTCTTCGCCTTTTCGTCGTATTCTCGACCTTTTTTCTCTTAGCCTCGATGGGAGAGACTTGGGATTGCTTCTTGTTACTACCTCCCCTGTTTCAAAATCTATATCGCAATGAGCGCAAGTCAAAATAACAGGCAATTCGAGTAAATAAATGTTTATGTGCTTACTTGAAAAGTCTTCTTGATAATAACAAGCCACACATTGAACTTTATCCCCTTTTATTTCTACTAAGTTACCACATTTACTGCAAACGAAAAGACTGCTCATTGTTAAACAGCAAAATATGTTGTGAGGTTACAATAATAATAACCGATGTCGTATTTTTCCTTAAATTTCCGCGTAGCCGACGCGTCACAAAAGATTTTGTCGTATTTGTCAAACCCGGCAGCAGGAGCGTGACTTCTGTATTACATCTCCCGCCAGTTGAAATTTATTAGTTCGATTACGTATTAGGCGAACAATCGTATGTGTAAGCCTTGGACCGTAATACGCCTTTCTATACGCATTAGAGATGATGATAAACATTAACTCTCTTTCACTTAACAACATCGGTATTAGCCTTTTTCATGTTGGTTAAAAAAGTTACCAAATAGTGAAACCCCCACGTTACGAGCCGAGAATAATATTAACGCAACATTTTTAACTCTTGTTCGAACATCGGTCTTCTCAGCGAATAGTATCGCTCCGTTGTATTAAACGTCAGTCTTCCTAGCGAACTTATCACTCCATTGTATTTTACATGATTTTTCTTAGTGAGCAATATCAGTTCCGAGATATAATGCATATCCTTCTTTACCCACTTTCGTTACGATGGTTTTAAAGAGTATTTAAAATTGTATTTATTATCCTTTTGTTCGAACAAATCAGTTTCAATAATGAATCGCTTGCATTAAATCCGTATATCGATGTGTCGAATTTCAGGGACGTTATGCAGGGTAGATCGTGTGGTTGGATTTTATTTCATCGAGTAATTAGATAGAAACTCATTCTTCAAGCATGAAGCTTATGAACAAAAAAGCTGAACTTTCAGCTTGGCTTTTTATAACTAATTTATAACTACCGCAGTATTTATATCCAATAAAATATTCAGACTTAGAGTTACTGTATATGGTGTCGCTGACAATAAATGGTATGGCTTTAAATCCTTTCAACTCCCCCAAAACTTTATATTTTCAAAAATGACCAGCAATTTTCTTCTTCATGATAAGGTCTACAAAGTTACCGGTCAGATTTTTAAAATATGGCTTATATGAAAAGTTATCAGCAGTTAAACTTGGATTACTTTTATATGATTGGTATAAGCAAACCCCAAAATTTGAATCAAAACATGCGAAAATTCTATCACGCGATATAGATTTTATTGTGGAATTTATTCACTCAAATTTCTTTGTTTCGATTTGCAATAATAAATGTCTTTCAGCGTAGTTGATCAAATGTTCTTGTACAATTAATTGTCTCGATTACAGATAATTTAATGGTAACCAATGGTAATTAAAGAATAAAGAGGATAAAGAAAGTGTGTGGTAAAGATTGTATAAACATACCAGCTAGTGAAATCAACGATACCACTATAAAAATCCTATATAATTGTCAACTTGACAATTCAGTCCAGATTTTCTTCAACTATAGAAAAAAGTAACTATCGAAAGAGAACATACCTTTGAAGGCCCAAAATTTCATTGCGAATACAACTTCATAGAACGAGAAGCTCCAGCCGTTATAATTATAATATAGTTATGCTGGCTTAGCTTCCTGATTTCTCTACAAGGGATTAAAGGGTAGAGCTGCAGAATGGGCTATTACTAAGTCTAACATCATAAATTACCATTATAGAATATGAAAACGTATAAAATTACCCCAAAGTATTGAAGTATGAAAATGTATAAAATTACCCATAATTAAATCTCACGTTATTGTCGAGTTATGACTTCCAGATTGCGAATGATCTATATCGTATTTTCTAAATTAATCGAACACAGTTTTTCGCATTTCGCATCTACAGTGGCCTATCAAAAGTCACCGGACACCCCCAAAATTTACTAGTAAAACATATGGAATGTCTTTCTTTTCAAAAATCTCTCCGGCACATGTGTACTATACGAAGAATAATATTTTTTTTGTATGATTCGGAAGCTAATTGATTGTGCTTTTCCAAAAAATTAACAAAATTTTTTTATATATTATCGTTATAAATCAGTAGCTTGACGAAATATGCACATACGTGCTATCATATAAAATTATATACTTTCATATCGTGATTTAAAGACAGCTACTTCAACTTGCTACCACTATATATAAAAACATTTTGTTAATTTTTTGGAAAAGCACAATCAATTAGCTTCCGAATCATACAAAAAAATATTATCCTTTATATAGTACACATGTGCCGGAGAGATTTTTGAAAAGAAAGACATTCCATATGTTTTACTAGTAAATTTTGGGGGTGTCCGGTGACTTTTGATAGGCCACTGTATGTTACACATTTTCATAGTTGACAACGATATACCTTGTGATACATCCACGATACTTTACGATACCTGCACTACGATACTTCACAATACTCCACATACCTCCACGATACTTTGATTCTCTCAATACTTTCATAATATCTCTCTGATTTCCACAATACCTTGAAGGAATGGATGTCGATGCTCCACACTAATGAATCTGTATTACATGCTACTGTCCTTCGTATATTAATATGAAGAGATGTAACGCCCCAATATTTAATAATCTACGGGACAAATAATCATCTTTATCCGCACCAAAAAGCATATTTATAGTGTATCGTAAATAGAACTTTGTGCTTTTTGTCATCACCATTATTTTCGTTTCTCATACTTCTTATTACTTCCGGATCTAATAACATTAGTATCTGAAGTTCATTCATGAAATAATCGGGGGTAATATAAGAATGATGAAAATGAACGAGCGTTTTGTATGAAATATTGTGACCTTCCCATTTGCATTTCACTACGATCATATTACAATACCACGTAAGCGCGTAAATATAGTATAGTTATAATAGGCTCGAACTATTGTGTATAATTCAGCATCTATGCCATAAGTCAAGTAACGCAAGGAATAGATTGTTATTGCAACCAATGAGCTCTGCCGCATGCCTCATTCACCCTCATTGCGATCTTTCCACACAGTAGATCATAATTTAACGCAATGGGTGATAATACATAAACGTGAAAGATTTCATGGAACTTTTATTATGTGTTAATGGAGTATTTATACCTATTATGTGCAACCGAGAGACATTAGAATAGGTATGACAAAATGCCTCATTATTACGTATTTTACTACTAACCCACATTTCTGGCAGTTATAAAAAACAGTCTGCCCTTCGTCAGCACTGCGGAGCTGCATCGTATGAAATGTCATCTCGTCATGCCCGCAGTTAGGACATTTCTCTTTAATCTAGACAGTCACCCAAACCACGTCAATCATATCTCATCTTACAAATTGCATCATCGTACACGCTCACTCACAGTTGCACCCTTCTCCGTCTCTTCGCCTTTTCGTCGTATTCTCGACCTTTTTTCTCTTAGCTTCGATGGGAGAGACTTGGGATCGCTCCTTGTTACTACTTCCCCTGTTTCAAAATCTATCTCATAATGAGCGCAAAGTCAAAATAGGCAGGCAGTTCGAGTGAGTAAATGCTTATGTACTTACTTGAAAAATCTTCTTGATGATTACAAGCCATACATTGAACTTTTTCTCCTTCCATTTCTACTAAGTTACCACATTTACTGCAAACAAAAAGACTGCTCATTTTTAGTCAGCAAGGTTACGATTAATAATAAGCGATGTCCTCCCTAAAGATTTTGGTCAGGGCCAGGAGCGTGACTTCTGTATTACATCTCCCGCCAGTTAAAATTTAGGAAAATTGTGTACCCACATAATTCGTGCTATAAACTCGTTAATGTTTGATAGTGCTGCAAACCAATTAACCATTATGATTTATCTATATCACGTATGAATAACAGATCATCTACTAACTTCTATGTTGTCATTACGATTTTTGTTCTAAAATTAAAAACATTAGTGAAGTTCTAATTGCGTTAGGCGTCACTATGTCTGTATTAGTATTGGAATTTTTAGCAGAATTCTCTTGCACTCGTTAAGAAAATGGGTATTAATACTAATGTGTTTATGAAATATGGTCCGGCGCAAAAAATTGATACACAAAATTCGTCACCTGAAATTCCTCACATGTACAGTACTAATCGAATGTGAGCATACAATGAAGGAAATGTCGAACTTCAAATATTGATCATTTATCTTTCCCATGGAAGACCTAGATAGAGAGCAAAGTTCTTTAACCGGTAACAAAAAATGAATAATTATTCGCGTTCACCAATACTTTTAAATACTCGACATGCCAGACGCAACGTCCAGACTTGCCACTACTACTACGCAAGGAGGTTGCTTCGGTCCTTGGAATTGGTGAGGCAACCATTGCGCGAGTGGTTGCTGAATATAATAGCGGTAAAAATGAAAAATTCTCAGAGCGTTCTGAGCAAAGAACGCAAGGGCGTCCAAGGAAAATTTAAACAATGATACATTATTGGTCGAAAGTGACAGTGAAGATCTCGAGGTTGAAGAAATTGATGACTAGTAAACCTTTTTTGTCTGCGTACATGTTTTAATAAATATACATTCCTCAACCCCAATTTGTAAATCAATTTATTTAAGCATGTGAATGAATTTCAAAAAAAAAAATTCTGTTATAAGTATATTGGTGTATCAACTTTTTTGCGCCGGTCCATAACATCAAATCGATCTGGATTTCAATCCGTCCACATGCGCTAATAATAGAAAAGAGGCATCCATCGTAATGCCAGAAATACAGCCGATACATAAGCAGTGCGCTTTTTCGCTAGACTCAGTGTGTTCGATTACTTTCAATTCTTTTATTCATATATTTTATCAAGTAGCTCTTATACTCTGAAAACATTTGTTCATACTATTCCCCTGGTAACTTTATTGATATGGCTGAGAAACCGCTAATCCCTATGTCAATTAGGAGTATTCGCCTCTTGTCTTCGCAAGTATTTCAATGGCAGTTACGATAATTATTCGGTTAGAAGAAACGCGTTTGATATAACTACAGTCCGACTCAAAAGTCACGGACCACCCTTTTGACTTTAATTAATCATGAATAACTCCACAACCAGATTCCTATGCCATGGAATTTATACCAATGTTAGCGCACATTATAGCTAATGTTTCCGCAAATTTTATTATAGTAATAGGTTAAATAGTAAAAGGTTAGAGCATGTTTGCATGCTACCAAAAATTTTTTTACGATATGAACGTTTAGTATTGTCCTAAAAATTATTTTACTTAATCTCAAACCTATAAACTGTGTCGGTAGATGCGTGCTTTCAGAAACTATAGGATATCCATGTTTTGGTTGCATAGTCACGCACAGCTAGAGAGGAGCATCGAGAAGATATAGCTTTTTCGGGCCGGCATTCCCCAACTTTTAACTCTGACATACCAAAGCATGCCATAGAATCATCATTACATATTGACATCACAGAATCTAAATTTTTACTAACCTCCAAATTTTTGTTTTTCGTTCAACATAAGCCTCTGAGAGGACCATTGACAAATCGCATTAGATTTTCTAAGCTACGGTCTATCATAGCCGAAAGGAGGTAAGATGTTGTTATCTGTTGCCAGGTAAACCGCGGACCACGCAAAGACAGTCTAATATAAAAAGTACATCAATGTAAGATATTAAATGTGCTGTGTTGGTGAGTGTTCGGTTAAAAAAGAAACAATAAACGCGCGTTATTGCCTTGCTAAAACCGTTATACAAGTCGTGCAATTAAAGTTATGCCACACAAATCTTGCAGTCCCGTATCTTTTAAACAACGTACAGATGGTGCGATTGAAGATTTGCCCAAAGCAATCAGTGAAGTAAAGAATCATGAACCACGATATAATATTGTGTCGAAGAAAAACTTTGATAGTCGCAATCTGCTTCAGCGTAGCAATTCGACTAAAAAAATCGACTTGGCATTTTGGCCAAAATATTTGAATTATAATATTAGATTATTATATTCTTCTGTTTTATCAACCGTTTTCTATCTTTGTGAACTATTTCTTATTGTATACAGCGACGATCACTGTCATGTTTAATAATATTATTGTTGTTGTTCATATCTGGACGAACAGTGTCAATAAGAACATTGTTAACTCAACCCAATATTGACACATGAAAACATATCCTATCTAATTGAAGAGGTAAACCGTTGAACAAAACTCGTATAAACTATAAAATAAACCGTAATTATGATTACAAGTTTATTCAAGAGTTTGAGTTGCTAAATTATAAGACAATGGACGATGTTAATATTGTAAATTCATTCAAATCAACATACAACCAGTTGTTGTTTTCAT